TATTGATTAATATATCCACAATATCTATATCCAGCTATCTCTTTCACTCAAAACAACACATAATATTTGATTTATTTAAAGTTTTAGTAAAGTTCTCTTGTTTAAATACAGAACAATGTAAATTTGCATCCAGCGAGTATAGATATTGTCTGAATGTTAATGTACGAATAATGTCAACCGATTTATTTTCAAGATCTAAATTTATGACCTCCTCAAATTGAAATAATCTTAAAATTAAGTATGATTCTTGTAATTGAACGTGTCGACATGGGAATGAAATTCCAATTGAGTGCGCAACATATCCCCAATTGCTGAATACATTTGAAGCCATTGTTCCAACATCATTAGTTTCGGGGTCTTTTTTTATTATACAATTTGTCTCTTTATTGTCGAGAAGTGTAATTTAATGCTTTTGTCCTACTTTGGCAGCTATTCACTTTCCCTGCGATATATGTTTACTGATGTGCATATTAATCCAGAAGATACCAGGGTAACCTACAGAATAGAGCAATGGTTATATGCCCAACGTAAGAACATATTCATCACGTGAAAGGCTAGTGGGTTTAAAAGTATTAAGAATATGTTTGTTACTATACAATCTTTCTTAGGTCATTTACGAGGTCAACTGTTTGAAATTATTGTACTAAATGTTATATGTTTATTTTTTTTTACGCGAAAAGCACTAATGTTTGGTCGATCGTTTTTGTTCAGCACGCTTTTCGCTATTTCAAATGAATTATTAATGTTACTTAATGTTTTGTTTATATTTTGGAAATCATACCATCTCTAAAAATAACAGACCTCAAAATTTAGTAGCAGTTGCTAACACTAATTTAACTAATTACACTGCAATTGAGAACATTATGCTTACTGAATCTAACCATTCAACATAGTGTTCACTGGAGGAGAAGTGGGATATATTTATCAAGTTTAATCCATCCCTCCGCATAGACGTATATATACGTTTTTTTTTTTTTTACCGAAAGTGTATTTTCAGGCACTGACAAAAAAAAAAAAAAACTTTCAAAAAACAGCTACAGACGTGTTTTTACACTAATCCTGATTTTTTTATGCCCTACTGAGCTTAAAAACAAGTCCAGTTGTCAACTCATACATCTGGTAGAGGTTTTAACATCTGCTCAGGTACTTCAAGATGCCTCACTTTCTTAGATACTATATTAAAACAAATGAAAAAAATCGTCTGAAAATGAAACGTTTTTGCCAAAACAATTGGTGGAGAATGGGTTAACTGGGTGTGTCTACAGACTTTGCACGCGCTATGTTTGTCTACTTCGTCTCTTCTCTAAGTCAGCTACATTGAAACCGAATAAGTTCATCCTGTTATTGTCTTAAACATTTTCTATATTTTTATTGTGGATTGTCTTTAAAGTTTTATTTGTTTCTCGATGATAGAGGAAACCCGTTGTTTACAAGTGTTTGAAGTTATGTGATTGTTTGTTGAATACCAGCGTTAGGAAAGAAAAGCTAAGTTTTGACCTATTGATTAAATTTTTAATAATGGCTATTTTATAGCAGTGCCGAAACTCACTATTATAATTAAGCTGTCAAGGTTTTGAACTTATAGATTCTTTATATATGCACAAATTCTGAAGGTGTGTCTACTGGAATCGACTAAGCGATCTCAGAAATGGATTCTATTTTCGATATTAATTTCCGAGTTGAAATGGAGGACTGAACTGTTTTCAAAATTATTAGCGAAGATAAAAATATCTTCGACGTCTATGACATTGTTGGTTTAGTGAGATTTCTGGACATGGTATTTTTTAAGTGAGTCATATAGTAGTTGGAAATCCTATGTGTGTGTGTAGATTTGTCTTTTTCTTATTCACCAAAAATTACGCAGTGCGTCAGATTTGATTTAGAGTGATGTAAGAAAGTGTTTTTTTTTTTCCATTCATTCAACTATAATGTGTTATAAAGTTCGTATACCGCTCGTAGTTCCGGTTAATAATACTGCAGGGAAACACTGGAACAAAAGATTGAATGAAAAACAAGGTTAATCGCGTGGGAGACATGGATTAATAGAGCATACTGTAGGTGAGTACGGGAATGTGTATGACAAACGCTGCGCTTTGCGACCGACTTCCTATAAGCAAATGTTTTACTCGTCGTAACGGACAACGAGTTTATGGTCAGCAACTAGTTCAAGTAGGTCGGTTGTTTTTCTACACACCATATATTTTATCTCTTTATGAAATGGAATACCAGCAAAAATATTTCCGGTATCAAGGGAGTTTACTAAGTTGTACAGAATATAGGCTATACAGAAAATGTTCACGAATGTTATGCTGTATTTGGCAGGTATTGTATTTTATCATGATTTTATTCTATTCTTTGAAAGTATGTATATGCGAGCAGGTATATGAGAAACGATACCTCTCAAAGAATTTTGGAATTTTATCATTTCTGGATTTCGATTTTTGAAATTTCTGCTGATTTTTGTGGTTTTATTGCGTTCATTTCTGCATCCATTTCTTTTACACTTGTTCGCTCAATAAAAAGTTCATGGTTAACTCAAGTAAAAAGGCTCACTGAATTTGGTGAGCTAACTGAATGAAAAGTGTAGGAAATAAAAGCGATGGTTATGTAAGCATAGAATATTGGTAACGGTTGACTTTTAATAATTTAGCAATGAGAAAACTTCCATACAGAAGTTATCTCGAGAAAACAGCCATTTTTGACAAACAAAAAAAATAAGAGGATTGGATAGAATGTTTGTCTTACAATTAGAATATAAAGGTAGTGAGGGTGACTCGACTCCTTGGAGAGAACTTAGTATATCTTAGCTATAAAGGTCTGAATTAGGGAAACTGAGAATGAAGCTCGTCTTAACATTTACCATGGAAATAGAGATACCCTAGGGACAGGCTTGCGACGTTGGCTGTGGGAACTTAACCATAAGGTGTAAAGTATTTCCTCAACCGCAAGGCCCGGTAAACGACATGATCAAAGCTTGAAAGTGAGAATCAGACGGCTTCAAAGTGATTATGTCTACAATATTTTCACATACATTCTAATCTGACTCTTGTAAAGTTAACGCATGTCAGAATAAGTCAGGTAGTTTCTGGAGCGGTACAATGAGCCGGCAATCTTCCATTATCCTTAGAAATGGAGAATATATATGTGTCCTCTTGAGATCTGGAGTGGACATTAATCGCAGTAGAAGATGGAGCCTCTTTGACAGAGAGGTCACACAACACTGACTAAAGAAAAATTCGTTTCTCATCAGTGAGGATTGGTTCCTTGGTCAGAGGGGAGATTAGTTTGTTGGGATAATTTTGTTGGCATTTTTATTTAATTGGTCAGTGAGAACCATCTTTAATTTTATAAAACCTAGCCGCTCACAAATGATTGTTTTTAATTGCTGTCACTAATAGAAGGAGTTATAACAGCTACTAGGCTTGAGAAAACTATTTTCCAGAAAAATTGTATCAGTTGAAAGAATTTATAAATTTCAGTATCTGTTTATATTTCTGAGATGAAGTATTATGTACACTATTTACAGTGTTTGGACTATCGTCATTTTTGTGGCCATATTTATCACCCTCAAAAGGAAAATTGTTTCCTCAAGTTTAGTATCGTTATATCGCTCTTTCTAGTATAGATGGAGGGATTCTTTCCAAAATTTCTATTTAATGTGTTGTGACATATCAACATACTGACATATCAACATACTGGGTATCTCATTATTATCTCTATGAGTTACATGTGCTATCTATTTTAGTTGTGACTTCTGTTGACAGGCCTCAAGTGATGTGGTTTCTGTTATTTCGATTGTCTCGATTTGATGAGGCTATTTCACAACATTATTTAAATTATTCGAACTATTGTCATCATCTTTGTCGCCATATTTCTCACAACGTTTCGGTCGTTGTACGCTCCGGCCTTCTTCAGGTGGTTGGAATGTCGAACTGAACCCTTTATTTCGCTCACTGGAGTAGACTGATCTAGTTCCAGTTGCCATGTCTAATGGATATCATTTATCAGTTATCTTCTGTTAATTCCTCTCTCCAATTTCTCCACCGCCTTTACCAGGTATTGAACTCACACTCTTTGGGTCCTGTCACTGGATCTATATAACGCCTTTATCCACTGTGAAATGTGTGCTTGAAACGTCAACCGATTGTATCCATAGCTGTTCAGTTAATTAATTTTTTTTTTATAAGGAAACAGCGAATATTTACAGCATTTACAGTCGGGCTAATGTCACTGGTTTCTATGTTATCATCATAACTTTTCGGACGATGTAATCGCAGGTCTTTTCAGCTGTATATCGATCAAGGTAATGGCCAGGCAGTTTCGAATTTAAGCCTTTACTCACATTAAAAGATAGATCACTTATTTCTATGTCTATGTGTAGGATTATTTAGACATCGTTAATTTGACCGGATAGGACGTGTAAGTAGGCAAAGTAATAATAGAGTTGTACTCAAAAGACAATTAACAAAGACGAGTTTTCCCTCGGGATCAGCTTGACCGTTCAAACACCTGTATTTTATTTTAATTATACGAAGTATCACTCAATCATTAACATTTGGATAACATCTAAACACATTAGTTCACAGCATACACTTCCGAGTAAACTGGCCCACAAAAATATTAACTAAACTATAAAAAAGCGATATTTGTATAATTTTTAAAAACCTAAATCAGACATTTAAGAGGGATTTGTTCGATTCGTTTTCTACGATGTGTCACCCCCTTTGCAGGTTATTTAAAGCCAGGAAATATTTGCAGATTTTAAGAATATTTTTCGATATAATAATTATTTAGTAATACAAGTTTTACTAATTAACGCATACCTGGGGAGAGAAGTATTTCAAACCTTTACCAAGTTCAATTGCACATTAGTGAATATAACGGAATACAAACAAAATTGGAACATTATCCATAACAACACGCACATATCTAAGCTTACAACACCTGGTATTCCAAAGGAGTCACCCATCCAGATATTAACCTGATTAGACTTTGCTTAATTTCCGGTGATAGTACTGAAACCGGTGTTTTAATGTAATCTGGCCGTAAGCCTTATATTTAAGAAGATATTAATGCCTTAATCCAGAAACAAACACACGTATATCACTATGTGTCTGTGTTGCTGCATGTATACATGTATAAACAGATATTTTGTATTTTATTATGTAGATTTATATAAGCTTCCGTGTTAAAAGTAATATATATGCCACATTTATTGACAGATAAAACAACCGGTATAAATATATAAGAAAAAAAAAAACTGTAAAAAATAAGATTGAGGGAAATTTTCTCAATCTCGCCACGGTCACCACAGCGGGAAATTCGCAGATGCCAAGTTTGACATCGAACCTGTCTATCACTTTGTCAAATGTAGATTGATTTGGAGAGCCAGAAATTAAAGTAAAAAAAAACAACAAAACAAAATCATTAATATTGCAAAGTGAGTCATACGTTATTTCTCTCTCTCAATATATATATATATATATATATATATATATATGTAGAAATTTTGAAAAACAAACAAAAATCCATAAATGTAGTTAAAATGAAAGAATTGTCGACGTCAGAGGTTTCGGTTTTAATAAACCATTTTCAAGACAAATTCATTAAAATACAAATTCAGTTCAATATGACGAAAACGATGGACATAAAAACACAAGTCTTATCCAAGAGTAAAACAGATAACTGAAAATTTTTAAAAAAAGATCAGCTTTCCGTTTAACGTGGTCACGCCGTAGTCACATGGATTTTTGTTTGTTTTTCAAAATTTCTACATTCTGTCGGATTTTATCCATTTACACTTGCTTATATATATATATATATATATATATATATATATATATATATTCCTTTCATGTTCTAGACTGGTACACATCTAGATTTAAATGATTACTTATATTTATAGACATACAATATCATAAGGCAATATCATAAGACAAAATGTCATTATATATAGAGTGGGGAGAAAGAAATCTGCGTACACATAGAATTTTTAATTTATGGTATGTTCAACTAACGAATAAACATACTTCTCATTTAATTAACTGTACACAGATATATAATAAATAAATATATACAGAAAACAGAAAAAATGATTTAATAGAATAAATCTCACCTATCTATTTTAATGGGTAAAAAAATTATTTGTAAAATACAAAAAATATACATAAACTTAATTTAGTACTTTGTAAAATATTTGTTCCCGCTACTATATGACTAAAATAAATCCTAAAGAGCCAGGAAAACCTATCTAGGTTTCACATAAACGGATCTTCAGGGTAAGCTGTTTTTTTTTTCATTGGACTAAAGACTTAAGGCACTGGATGATTTATTTCGCCCTGTTCGGATGTTTTAGTTATTTTTTTTTTTATTACCAATTTTTTCCTCGGGTATCGATTTGTTTTGAAATGTCTATCAGGTTTTTTTTTTCAAACGAGTATTACTATTAGTATATATATATATATATATATATATGAGCTGATATATTTTTATATTTTATAAATTAATGATATATTTTGACTGGTATACATACATACTTTTTCAAATTGTATCTGCATTTACAAACACGGTCTCATATATCGTCTTTGAAATTGTCTATACAAATTATCAAATAATATTATTATTTACATAATTTATGTATGCACACACACTATATATATATATATATATATATATATATATATATATATATAGAGAGAAATACTGAGTGGAGGGTTTCAATAAGTCCATGAACTAACTCGTACATGTTAGCTGAACATTCAGTGTGTAATGTTCAATACATTGTATTAAAAGTAACCTCTGAATAATGTGCATTAACAAGGACGGCAACTTTTGAAAAATAAATATTTCTCTCATAAAATGATTTTCAAACATCCAGATCTGGATAGATTGATATACCTTGGCCATATTCTGCTACTGCATTTTTATTTGAAATCACCTTCCACGACTGCCATAGAATTATTCACTCTCTTGTAGACCACATTCTTCCAGCTGTTGTTTCTTCATCTTCGTATCAGGCACTTGCAATTTCTTCCTCTTTAATGGCAATTTTCCCGCACAAAATTATTCCTTGATTCAGTGGCGGTGGCGACTCTGTAAGCGTTTACGTTTTTTTTTTTTTTAAATTTCAAGAGAAAATGAGAGAATATTTATCATCATTCCCTTCTTGTATTTTGTATTGTTTTCTCCAAGGTCTTCATTTTTGTCAGTTGTTTATTACCCTTTATTTAATTTCCTTCTCGTTCTCCTTCGTTACTCCCACTCACTTATTGTTTTGTCACATCCTTCACTTCTATTTTGTGGCATTCATTTTTCTTCTCGTCCCATGCTCAATTCATTTTGCCACCGATTCTTCATTTCGACCTCTCCATCCCAACCTTCCTTCTTTTCTTCCCTAGCTTTATAATCTTCTCCTTTTTTTTTCTAATTTCTCATTCCTCCCTTTCCTTCCAATTTTTCTCCTTCCTTTACCATACTCGTTTTTTTCATCCCTCTTTCTTATAAAACTTCTCACTTATTTTTGCCTCTCGTTCTTCGTTTTGTCTTCGCCTCACAATCTTCTTTCTTTTCTTTACAATCTTCTTCTGCATTTTTTAAATTTCTCTTTACATCTGTTCCTTCCAATTTCGCGTCTCTCATTTTTATTCCAGTCTTCTGTTCTCTTTTCTTTCATTCATTCTCATTTTCTTTTTCATCCTGTCCTCTTATTTCTCATTTTTTACTCCTTCGTCTTATTTTTCTTTTTGCTTCGCCGATTTCATTCTCTCTTATCCTCTTCTAATCGTTTCCATTTCCTTCTTTTCTTTATCACGTCATTCTATTTATTTTTATATATTCTAATCCCTACACAGACATTTTATTTCTCTTGTTTTTCATTCAGTCTTCAGTTTCAATTTTCTCCTTCACCCTATTTAAATAATTCTTTCTTATATAATCATCATCATTCTTATCATTTATATTTTAGCAATTTTCATCATGACGTGTTCTTATTTTTCTTTCCCCCATCTTGTCCTTTCTCTTATGGTTAA